AGAGAGAGAGAGAGAGAGAGAGAGAGAGGGTGGGCTGAGCATTAGCACCCTCCCTTGGTCCCTTCTTGGCCCCTGTGAGCTGCCACTGCCTTTACTAAGAAGTCTTGAAGTCCAGGGAGTTGACTGGATAGCTGCAGGCAGTCCCAGGAATGGGAGGCAGAAGGAGGCATGGGTGGCTTTAGCCTGTGCTAATATCCCATGCCCAATCCCATTCATCCAGACCCTCCTGCCAAAACTGTCCAGTCCCTGGTTCCCAGATTGTCATCTCCTCCCAGGCTCATGCAACCCTCTCCCTTCCCTGAATGTTAGTTAGCTCCTCAAATGCTTCTTGTTGGGACCTAAACCCTAGACCTGGCCACTCTGGAAGTTGTTCCATCCTGCACCATAGCCTCCCGACTCCATCTTCTAGCTCATAGATACCATGGTAGAGCCAACTCAACTCAATTAAAATCAATTCAATTCAATAAACTAAGAGCCTAGTACCACAGGTCTTTGCCATCAAGTTGGTATGCAGAGCCCTATAGTGTCTGGTGTGCAGACCTTCAGGCCAGCCAAAACCTCATACTTATGCTCCTCCCCTCATCTCCAGTCCCAATATCCTGCTGAGGGGTCAGCTGGGTCCCCTTCCTTCCCCCCACTCCTCACACCTCCCTTCCAACAGCAGGTTATGCAAATTCATTTTTAGGCAGGACTCTCTGATGGTGCTTTCTGCCCTCATTCCATTCATCTGCCTCTGCTATGGCTCTCCACAGGCTCATAAGTGGAAGCCCTCCTTAGTTCTCCTCATATTCCCTTGGTACTACTGATTGCTCATCATAATGCTAGAGAGTTCACTGCCTGTGATCAGCAGCCAGAATCTACATCTGCTTTCTGCATTAAATAACTGTGTAGAGGAATGAGTTTATGCAGAAATGCACCCACTCCACCCTTGTGGGCAGTGACCAGAACTATAGGGTAGGGTATCTCTTGGGACCCCACAGAGCCAGAGGGAGGCCATTTCCAGAAGGGCTATGAAAGGGAAATGGACATGTGGGGGACAAGTGGAGCATATGAGGGAAAGGGATTATGGGGTCCCCAGTCCCTGGACGTTCTCTTAAATGATCTGGCATCCCAGTCCTGCCCAGCAGGCTGGAGAGGACATTTCCTAGAGGCCTGAGCTACAGGGCCAAGGGAATCTAGGTAGGGCTTAGGAAAAAGGAGGGAAGCGCATCTTTTAGGGAAAGTTTAGTGAGAGCAGAGTTATCTACCACAAAGAAGGTAGGATTATTGGATGGATTATATGGGGCATAAGTGGAGAACAACATGGAGAGATGGAAAAATTAAAGTCTGACCCTCCTACTCCCCCTACACAAGCACAGACTTCATGAGTGTGCTTTTAGTCCTTATTTATACAACATTCCCTTTTGGCTTCTATCTTGCCTGACTCCTCCAATTTTTTGAGCCACGAATCTTTTTTTTTTCTTTCTTTCATTCTTTCCTTTTTGTTTTTCCCTTTACAGCTGCCCTGACTCAAGCTCAGGGACGTGGAGCCTAAACATTCCTTGGATGCTGGCCTGACAAAGAGCCTGGGGATCCATGGCCGGTGGCGTAGGCCAGTACTTCTCAACACCGGGTCTTTCCTAGTCAGAACTTTGTTTCCTTCCTTATCCAGAGCAGGACAGGATTTGAGAAGAGGAGCAGTAGGTGGGAACAATTGGGTTCTGCTAACTCAAACAGAATGAATCCATTCTGTTGGCTCCTTCCTTGCTGGGTCTTTCCTGGCCTGGGCCCAGTCCCCAGAATTCCTTCCTCTACTATTGTGTCTAGTCACCAGCTCACAAGTTCCCCATTATTTTTAGCACCAGTACAGAAAACGAAATCAAACCAATCCGAATGACCAGCACCACACACAGAGGAAGCATGCATCCCGGGACCCGGCTCTCTGTGCCCCAAATCAGGGAGTGGGATGGGCGGTCTTTAGCAGTTCTCCCACCACCCCCATTCTGACAACTTGTGCCAGCTTATGCATGTGCTCAGTGCCATACACTGATGCCATTTCAGCAAGAATTGGAAAGTGGGGGGGGAAGTGGAGAAGAAGGGAGCCACTGAGATTGCAAGAGGCTATGGACATGGGAAAGGAGGAGGAGGAAGGGATAGAAGGAGGCCAGAGAAGGAAACTGCCTTTGGGTGGTGAGAGATTCAGCAGAAGGTGGAAGGGCTGCCTGTGAAAGAGGCAGGGGACGAGGAGCAGGGAGCAGAGGGGTTCAGCTGAGCTCAGCCCTTCCTCTTAGATGCTATTCTATTCTGCCCCACCCAGTAACCAGTTAGTGGCCCTGAGGGGGTGGGGGGAGGTGGTGTCAGAGGGTCAGCTGAGAAGACTCTAGCTCCAAACCTTTGCCCGCATCCCCAAGCTTGTCAAAGTCAAAATTTCCAGGGATTCTACCAGCTCAAGGCTGCCTCTTGGATCCTATTTCTGAAGCCAGTCTGGGAATGTCTCCTCTCTTACTTCAGGGAACAGAAAGGAGGAGGAAGAGACAGTCCTGTCTGTTCCCAAGAAAGGGATGGAGGAGCATGGGACCGGACTGGAGACCATGACTAAACCAAGAAATTGGAGCACTGACTGGATTCCTTAGTCCCTCCCAAGCTCTCCCTTCTCTGCCACCCTTTAAACCAGGGGAAAGAGCCTGTGGCAAAAATCCTACAGGAGTCCTACTGTCTGCAGGGCCCTGCTAAAAGCAGCTGTGGGAAGATGAGAGGAACCAAAGTCTTATGGGTGAGAGGGGGGACACAGAGAGACGGGTATAACGCAGAGAGGACATCCTTGCCCCTCGTCACACTTATCTGAGCACCTCTATTTTCCGTCCCTCTACGATTGTCCCATTCAGCTTCTCTCGTGCTCGGTCAGCATCTGTGCTAGTTTCAAAAGTTACAAACCCAAATCCCTGTGAGCAGAGGAGAAGGACAGACATGGAAAGAAAGACACAGGATGAGAAAAAAGGAAAAAAAAAGGAAGGGGAGGCAGGGATGAGGGAAGAGGGAGAGGGTGACAGGGAGGGAGAAAGAAAGAGAGAGAAAGAGAGAGAAAGAGAGGGGGGTGAGTCAGGAGAGTTGATAGGAGAGACTCAGGCTGCTGAACTGCAGAAAAAGGTCTGGTTTTAGTGCCACCATCACACACAGAGAAGGCTAAGGGCACCAGGCTCTGGGTAGCAGCTGCAGAATTTGTCCTTCTTGAGCTGCCCCTCCTTGGTACCAAGGGTGGCCCACAAGAGGGGCAGAAGCTACCAGAAGGATATTAACCTGGTGAGGCGCTAGAGGTGCCTGCCTTGCCCCATCTTGGAAAGACGCTGGAGTGAGTGGAGGGAGGAGCAGAGGGTTTGAGGGCTGGGGGAGCTGAAGCCAGGGCTTCTGGTCAGAGCCCCCTGGGCTGGGCACCTCTCCCATACCTCCACCCCAGAAGGCTCAGCCTTGCCCAGTTTTCCAAGTCCCTCTTTCCCTCGCCAGCTTTAGATGGGTACCTCTGTGCATCAATCCCTGTGGATGAACCTTACCCATTCCCAACCCTGGTGCCCACGATGCCCAGGTAGTCCCACCTCCAGTGAAAAGCTCCCCAAGTCAAAGCCAGGGACAGGCATATGGGGACAAGATGCTGGTTGATCCAACACTGAAGGTGGGGGAAGAGAGGTATAGTGGGAAAAGGGGACACAAACAGAATAGCAGGAAGTGTTCCCAAGGGGTAGGCAGAGGTCCTGTCGCTTTTAGAAAGGAAGAAGCAGCAGCAACACAGACAGCTTGGGGGAAGGTGGGAAGAGGGGAGGGGGTTGTAGGAGGAGGAGGAGGAGGTCAGGATTGCAGGGAAGAGGCAGGACAGGTGTGAGTCAGGAAGAGCAGGGAATACAAGCACCCGTGTTGCTCAGGGGTCCTCGGGCTCGAAGCTCTCCAGGAAGGAAACGCACATTTCACACGTTAGCCTGGCGGGACCGTTACAGCTGGGTTCGCTGTAATGATGGCGGCGTCTGGGCAGCACCCACCTTGGAGCCCCGTTCGTTAAAAATGATCTCCACGTCTAAAATTTTTCCGAATTGCTGGAGAGAGAGGAGAGAAGAGGCAACAAGTTGAGAAGGCTCCTCTTATCCTGACATGCCTTTGAAATGTTCACCCTGAAACCTCTCGGTCCTTGTTTGGATCAAAGAGGCAGGAGAAGTCCTTTTTTCTTTACTTTTCTTTTGAACATTTTTTTTGTTTTTGTTTTTGGGTGAGGCAGTTGGGGTTAAGTGACTTGCCTAGGGTCACACAGTTACTAAGTGTCAAGTGTCTAAGGTCGAATTTGAACTCATGTCCTCCTGACTCCAAAGGCGGAGCTCTATTCACTGCGCCACCTAGCTGCCCAGAGAAGTTCTTTTTTCAAGTGAAATACTTCTTCACCCAGTGCTGCCAGTTCTCATAATTCCTTTAACAGGAATAATACCTTTTGTTCTATAATTAGGGAGGCAATATATGGGTATAATTCACATCAGGGACTCCTCTTACCTTGGGGATGTGCTACCAATGTGCTTTTGGAAGCAAGTCACTTTTTCCTTGCTTCTGTTGCCTAATAGAGTTGGTGGAGTTCTCAGCTACAAAGCATTAAAGCCCTTACTCATTTATACTAAAATGTAAATGACTGATACCAGATCATTTCCTAGAAGGAGTTTACTCTTCTTACTACATAATTTATTCTTGTATTTTAGAGACAGGGTTGGATTACCTAGGTCAACCTGCTAGTCACTAGCAGAACCGTGGCTGGCACCCACATCTTCTTATTACCACAGTTCAGTGCTTTTTAAAAGCACAAGTCTAGAGCTGGCAGGGGCCTCAGTAATCACTTGGTCCAAGCTCATTATTTTACAGATGAGGAAACAGAGACCTTGGGAGGTTAAGTGACTTGCCTAAGGTCACACAGGTAGGAAGCATCCATGCCACCTTCTATAATTTGAGGTTGAAAGGAGTCACTCAGGGTAGCACCCTCGATGCCCCCAGTGTATTTGAATTGTCACTCAGAGGAGTATCCTGCTTAAGGTACATAGTAAAGTACATAGGTAAATAGTAATAATAAAAATAATAAATGGTACTATTGCAAACAGTAATAATATAGTATAGTAATAAATAATAACACTGTAGAAATAATAGTAATAATAGCTGATATTTATATGGCATTTTAAGATTTTCAAAATACTTTAAAGACATCATCTTATTTGAGAACTACAGTAATTAGTAGGTACTATGTTAGTATTATCACCATTTTCCAGAAGTAAGAACAGGGACCCAAAACATTTATCTGAGGGCATACAGCAGGGTAAAAGTGAAGCCAGAGAATGAATCTCCTAGTTAGTTGTCTTTCTGATTGGGTTATATTACCCACTGTTGTCAAGCTAGTGCCTTGAGCAACGCCTGTTGTTGATAATGAAACCAGGAAGACCAGGGCAGAATCCAACTTTGAACTGCCTTGAGAAGGAGGGAGGAAAGTGGAAGGTAGGGAGAGGGGAGGAAGAATACGAAGAGGGAGATATTTTTGGCTAGTCAACCTGGCAGAAACCTACTTGTCCTCTTAGCCTTAGGGAAAAATGGCAGTGGAAGACATAGGGTGTACAAATCATAGCTAGGGGGAAAGGCTTTTGGGAACCTGGAGTGCCCAAGAAGAGAGGAAAGATGGGCACAATAATGATGATGATTATAGTAATAGCAACAACATAAATAATAATTTCCTCAGAACTTTTTGAGGTAACGGCACAAGTTTATTGTTATCCTTTTAAAAAATAGATGAGGAAACTGAGGCACAGAGAGACAACTATAGTTGCAAACTGAGGCAAGTGTAGTAAGTTGAGATTTAAGGAACAAAGGCTGGCATTTTTGATGAAGCTTTCTTGTTTTGCTTTTTACATGATCCCAAGGAAGAAAGAAGGGAGAGAAGAGAAAGGCTAGGTGGGGAGATCCTTGTGGTGATTTCCAAGGGCCTCCGAAGCTAATATAATCTGATATCCAACAGGAGGCAGGCCTGGAAGCCGGGGAAGGATGAGGAAAAGGGGGCTGGGAGATGTCCTGGTGTGTCCACATGTGGAATCCTTTCCTCTCTTTCTCGATAAAGGAGTCTCTGGTTTTCAGAACAAGTAAATGATGGCAGAAGGAGGGAGGTTAGGGATGGGGAGCTGGGCTGAGGCGTAGTAGGAGGGGAGGTAGGTGGTAGGGAGGGGAGGGGGTTGGGATGAGCACACTCACCCCGAACATTTGCCGAAGATCAGGATCCCTGAACCGGAAGGGGATGTTGGAGACGTGTAATCTCTTGGGCTGCTGCTTGTCTGTGTTCTCTGAGGAATGTAGCTGTTGGCTGTCTGTCTGTGCAGCTTCATCTGTTTGCTGGGGAGACAGAACAGAAGGCCAGTGAGATGTCCTCAGCACCTGTTGCTATGGCAAGGTGGAAAGCTGCTCCGCAGAGGATGTTTTGTGATGTTTTACAGGCATCTCAAACTTACCATGTCCAAAACAGAACTAATTATCTTTTCCCTCCAAACTCATCTATTCTGAACTTCCCAATTATGGTTGAAGGCCCAATCTTCTCACTATATTTAGCCAGGCCCAGACCTGACCATGCTCCTTCACTTTGGGCATTTCTTGCTGCTCCACCCTCCAACTGGATCCCCAGACCCCAGGACCTGGAGGAGCTGCCCGGGGACTGGGCTGTCCTTATGGATGGGTCCCCAAAATACCTAGCTGGCAAGTCCTGTCTGTGCTCTTTTACTGGCTTGTAAGTACTCCCATTCCCCCCAGCTTTCCATGTCTGGCTCTGTGAACCATAACCAAATCAACATTACCATTGCTTCTGGAGGGGACTTGTCAACCAATTGACCCATTATTCCACTTACTGTCTCTGTGACTTTCAAGACCAAAATACCCTCCTTAGACACCCTAATTGGTGTTGTCTCTCCCTAACAGAATGAAAGCTCCTTGAGGGCAGGTACTATCTCACATTTTGTATCTCCAGTTCACAATGTAGTGCCTGGAACATAAATGCCTTTTCATTCATTCATTCACTCACTACACATATCCAATCAATTGCCACCTTTTTTCATTTCTACCTCCACAGCAACTATTTTAGCTCAGGCCTTCATCGTCTTTCACCTGTACTATTGCAATAGCCTCTTAATTGGTCTCTCTGCTTCAAGTATCTCTCCACTCCAAACTATCCTTCAAATAGCTGCCAAAGTGATTTCACTAAAGTGCCGGGCTGACCACGTCTCTCCACTACTCAATAAATTCTAGTGACTTCTACTTGGAAGATCAAATAGAAACTCACATCACTTAAAGCCTTTGACAACCTGGCCCCAACCCATCTTTCCAGTTTTATTATACATGACTCCTCTTCATGAACACTATGGTCCAGATAAGCTTCCTTGTTCCATATACATGGCATTCCCTTTCCTTCACTCACGCTTTTGCCTTGGCTGTTCCCCCAGGATGGGAATTTATTCCCTTCTCACCTCTGTCTTATAGAATGCCTAGTTTCCTTTAATGCCACTTTCTACATGATGCCTTTCCTGGTCCCCCTTGAGGCTAGTGCCTTCCATCCAAATTGTATTTACCTATCTATTGTATATTACCTATCTATATGCATGTTCTCTTTCCAGTGAGACTAAGACTCTTGAAGGGAGACTTTCCCCCTTCTGTGTCTGTATCCCTAGCACCGTGCACAGTGTCTGGCATTTAATAAGTACTTGTTAATAAGTGACTGTTCTCCAAACTACCAGGATCTCTGGGTTAGACCTCCACCTGAACCTTTGGATTCTTCTGCCTTTTGGAAGTGGAGAGGAATTAGAAATCAGATCTTCCCACCCAAGTTCTCTTCTCCTGCTTCTTAATGCTTGCCCCCTCCCCTCTCCCCTATATTCCTGCTCTGAATCATGTAAGAAATGGGGATTAGAACAACTCTCCAGGAAGCCTAGTTAAGTAAAGGAGAATGAAGAGGCATAATACATCCCCCTATTTCTTCTGCATGCATACACTTAAGCTTCTGTTCCACCTTTATTGTTTCTACCTTGCATGCACAAAACAGCCTTTCTGATTTCCTTAACATCATAACTCAAGGTTGCCTCATTTATGCAGTTATCCCAGACTCACCCTTTTCTCCAACAATTCCTAACTCATCTTTCCCTTACCATACAAGTTCATAATTTTGTAATCATTGCTACTCTTGAGAATGACTTTGTCTTCTCTACTTCAAGATCTTTGAGGGAAGGTTGACTTCTGTTATTTAATACAATGTGACTATAAATTTCCACTCACATCCTACTCCAATGCCTTCTTAATCATGGCACTGAGGTGACTCAGGGTTCCTGAAGGCTACCTTCCCATAGTATAAGCTCTGTAACGACCTAACCAAACTGCAAAGGCTTTGATGATTGGCTTGGTAAGAGACCTCCAGAGATCAGGACTTGGGTGTAGGCTGTCCTCAGTGGTAAAACTTTAGTATGTCTAGTTAGAAAGACCTAATTTACTCTGGTCTGGGAGTGCCTCTACCTCTACCTCTGGAAACTTCAACCAAGTTAACATTTTTGGAAACGGTATGTCAGCTGATAGCCCTATTGTCCCACTTACCATCCCTGCGATTTCCCAGACCAAAATGCCCTTCCCTGGCCACCACTCCCCTCTATGTTGTCTCCTTTACAACATAAGGTCTTTCTTTTGTATTTGTTACCCTCCCTCCTATCCTGTGACTCTTGCTGCAAACTCAGAACATTTTGTAAGAAGCACACTGGCCAGAATGGACTCTCCATTCATTTTTCCCTGATGTTCTTTCCTTTCTTGGTCCCTACAGAAACAAAATGGGAAAGAGGGAGGAAGAAAAGCAAAGAACCTAGATCATCCAAAAACTGGATAATGGAGACTTAGATGTAGTGGTAGATGGACTGGATATAGTAGTTGTTTCCATGAGGATTCAGGGGTGGGTAGGGTCAGTATTTGCTGCCTGGAACTAACTCTTAGCCTCTTCATCAGGTTTTTTCTTCTACCTTGGCTTCCTCTGGATCCTAAGAGTTGCGGCTAAACTCTCCATCTTTCCAAAGCTTTAAAACACGTGTCTCTTCTTTGGATCCTTTTGCAAGAATGGATTCAACTGAAGTTGCCTTCCAGGCCTTCTGCTCAAGGTATCCTTGCAGTTTGGAATGTAGGTCCCTGAACAGGATTTTGACAATGAAGAAGGAAAGCTGATCCACCCTGTCCTTAAAGAATCTCAGAATAGGAAGATACCTTAGAGGTCATCTACTCCAACCCCTTTCTACTGAAAATAAAGTAACTGAGGCCAGAGCAAAGAAGTAATTTGCCTACAGTCACACAGATAGTTAGGGGCAGGGCCAGGATCAGAACTGAGGTGTCATGATTCTTGGTCAGTCCAACACTTTCTACCACACTACATTACCACACAAGGCATCCTAGTGGAGGCTCCCTTGGGGGACCAAATACAACTCCACAGTGTGCTGTGCTCCAGATAAATATTTCTTAAGTCTTTCCAAGTTGTTTTTCTTTACAATGTTGTTGCTATTGTATAATTTACCCCCTGGCTCTGTTTACTCTGTATCACTTTATACAAGTTTTCCCAGGTTTTTATGAAACTGTGCCTTTTTATCAATCTTTTGTACAATAGGATTGCATTACATTCATACACCTTAATTTGTTCAACTATTTCCCAACTGATGGGCACTCCCTTAGTTTCTGGTTCTTTGCTACTACAAAAAGAACTGTTATATTTTTGCACATATGGGTCCCAGCATAGTCACTCTCTTCTTTGTCTTCACAGTCTACTCTTTTACCTCTTTCCTGTGGCGCTTGTGAAATGCATATCCTCTCTGGGTGACATGTTCTCTGCACTCAAACCACAGAATCACAAACATTGTTCTTGCCTGATCCTCTCATCCTAAACAAGGAGCTGGTCATCTCTCCAATCTCCATCATTTGTGGTCCAGATATCCTGAGCTCCTCTTTATGTGACTCAGACCTCCTCAAGAGGTAGTTATCATTATTTTGTGTTCTTTGCCTTATTTTGTGTTCTAACACAAACTTGTGGAATTTAGACTTGTAAGAAACCTTAGAGATCATCTGTTCCAGCCTCCTCATTTTACAGATGAAGAAATTGAATCTCAGAGGGAAAGTGATTCACCCAAGTACCTCCCCTTGCCTCCACTGGATATATGTATTTTAACCAAGTATCTCATGATATTCTTGTGGAGTAGATAGAGAGATAGGGGTTAGAAATACAATCCAATGAATTCAGAACTGGTTGGATAGCTAGACTCAAAGAGCAGTTGTTAATGGTTCAATGTTTAACATTAAATGTTCAATGTCCATGTGTCCAGTGGTCTCCAGTGGAGTATTTCAGAGATCTGTGGTCTTGTACTGTTTAAAATTTTTATCAATAATTTAGTTCTCTATGGCTTGGACATACATGGAATGCTCATCCAATTTGTAGATGACAAAGCTGGGAGGGACAGATAAAATGGTGGATGAACTTGATTCAATATCCAAAAGAATCTTGACAAGTTAGAGTATTAGGGTTGAATATAAGAGGAAATTCAGTAAGGTTTAAATGTAAAGACTCATACTTGGGCATAAAAAAATCAACTGCAACAAGTATTAGATGGATAGACATGGCTAGACAGTGGTTGTTCTGAAGAAGATCAGGAGATTTTAGTGAACTGTAAGCTCAATATGAATTAGCAGTATGATGTGGAAGCTTAAAAAATTAATGCCATCTTGGGTTGCATTCTATCCATATATTTCCAGAACAGGTTGGTGATAGTTCCACTCTACTCTGCTCTCATTAAACCTCAGCTACAGTATTATACTCAGTTTGGGGCCACAGAGTTCAAGAAGTACATTGATAAGATGGACAGTGTTCAGAGGAAGGAGGGCAGCCAGGATGGCGAAGAGCCTTGACTCTAAAACATATAGGGATCAGTAGCAAAAACTGGGTTTAGCCCTGTTTAGCCTAAAGAAGACTCGGGGCACATGATAGCTATCTTCAAGTATTTGAAGGACTGCCATATGGAGGAGGTATTAGTTTTGTCCCCTGGAGGAGAGAATCAGGAGTTCTGGGTGGAAGTTCCAAAGAAGCAAATTTAACCTCAATGTCAGGAAAATCTTCCTAACAACTAGAGCTATCCAAAAGTGGAATGGCCTTCCTTGAGAGGTGCTGGGATCCCCTACTTGGAGGTCTTCAAGCAAAGCTGGATGACTACTTGTCAAGTACGTTTTGTTACAGTGGATGTTCCTTTTGAGTATGGATTGGAGATGGTCTCTTCTACCTCTAAAGTCCCTCTGTAATCCCAGATTTAATAAAATACCTACCCAACATTTCCCCTAATTTG